TTCTCCACAAGTTCTGAAGGATGAACTTCCAGTAAGTTCCAGATGCCACCAGTGCCTTCTTTCCCATGAAGGGAGATGTGGTCATATTGTTTTTATAACTGCCTATCCTATATTCTTTAGGGTTTTTAACTCCATTTCCCCTGATACAGCAATTCTCTAAGCTTCCCCTGTTTAAAATATTTAAAAACAGTTATTGCCCTCTTTTGTACTTTTATACTATGTGACATCTGTCTCCTAATTGGACCCTGATATCTCTCTTTACCCTGCTTTACTTCCTTCATGGTACACACCACTAACTGAAAGTATATTACCTGTGTTTGCTTACTGTTTAATTATCAGCGTCCTCCACTAGAATATAAGCTCTATGAAGTCACTTTGTTCACTACTAAATAAATGTATTCCTAGTACCTAGGACACTGCCTGGTAACAACATATTCATGATAAATACTTGTGAGTGACCAAATAAGTGAATTGTTGGCTATAGTGGACCAAAATATCTTTTTAGAAGTTCAACTCATGGATTATATCAAATGAAACAATGAATGCCACCTTGCTTGTATCTGCATGTGCTCTCCCCCTTTCTTTCATACAACCCTCATTCACTCATACTCTGTGTTTCTGCTTATGGTATTCCTTCAGTCTCTACTCTAAAATTAGTAGATAACCTCTGAGTGCAAAAATTCCACCATACTGCCATTTAAACCTGTGAGGCTCAAACAATACAATCCAAAACTTTCTCAACACATTCCATAAGGGGCACAAAAGTCACACTGACTAAGGTTGGGAGACAGGTAGCTTCTTTTTAGGCTTTATTCATAAAGGCTGGTAATCTTCCAAATAATAAGTTGCTACTGCTCTAACTGGGTAGTCAGTTAAAAACATCCAAAATATTCTTACTAATAATCTAATACTTCAATCCCATTACTTTAAAACATTTTTCAGAATAGAAATTTGTAGTTTTAGCCAGTCCATAACTTAATGTTCACCAACTATTCCTTCTGAGTTTCTAGCTCATCCTCTCTTACATATACAAATAAAAAATATTCATCAGGACGCCCAGGTGGCTCAGCGGTTAAGTGCCTGCCTTTCGGCCCAGGGGATGATCCTGGAGTCCTGGGATCGAGTCCCACATTGGGCTCCCTGCAGGGAGCCTGCTTCTCCCTTTGCCTAAGTCTCTACCTCTCTCTCTGTCTCGAATGAATGAATGAATGAATGAATGAATGAATGAATGAATGAATAATATTCATCAATGAATCTTCCATCACTTTTCTGTAGGCTCACCTAAGGTAGATTTTTACTCCTATTGTGCCACACCTACAGCTTTCTTGTTTTCACTTGAGGATAGTGTAATAGTGCAACGGTTACTCCGAAGTTCAAAACAATACCCAGACATCAAATTCTGGACGCTCAAATTATTCAAAATAGCTAGAAGACCCTGGATCAATACTCGTTTTGCTCCATTTCCTTCCTATTTCCTGATTTGTCTCTGTTGATTTGAGAGGGATGGAGAAGTAGAGAATGTCACAGGGCACAAAAGGCAGAAAAGATGGGTAAGAGGTCTTTTTTTTTTTTTAAGATTTTAATTTATTTATTCATTAAGAGAGAAAGAGAGAGAGAGAGAGAGAGAGAGAGAGAGAGAGAGAAAGGGAGAGAAGCAGGCTCCATGCAGAGAGCCCGATGCGGGACTTGATCCCGGGTCCCCAGGATCACGCCCCGGGCGGAAGGCAGGCACTTAAAACCACTGAGCCACCCAGGCTGCCCCTTTTTTTTTAAAAAAAAGTAGGTTCTACGCTCAGCATGGAGCCCAATGTGGGGCTTGAATTCATGAATCTAAGATGAAGACCTGAACTGAGATCAATAATTGGACACTTAACTGAGCCATCCAGGCACCCAGAGTATGAGGTCTTTAATGGAAATCCTTTCTTGGTCTTCTCAAACCATCTGAAGAACAGAAACACTAACAAAACAATTACTTCCAGTTCTTTCTTGCTCTTGTAACTACTTCACTTCAACGTACACTATCAAATTTCAGTAACAGTAAAGGCTGTTCCTCTATCAATGGCAAGAACTTCCATCCAACTTCCACAACCTCTTGTCCCTGAATATCAAGTTTCTGCAGTTGCTTCCAAGTTAAACCTGTGCCTTCTGTTTAGGACTCAGTTACATTTAAAAAAGCTTTAGGTTGTCCAACAATATTATCTTTGTCCCTCATTCTGGCAATAGACTGCCTACCAGAGCCAAAATAGCTATATAAAATTTTGAAGTTATGGGAAATGTAAAAACAAACAAAAAAATTAGAAAAAACGAAGAAACTTTTAAAGGGAGAATATGAGAAAAAATAAAAAATATATAAATGTTTTAAAGACACTCTGGATCTAAAGACATTTCTGTTATTTGAATCAATAATATATTCAGTATAATTTTGCTTGGAATATTCTATTTCGATAATTACTCATGAGAATGGGCATTACTTTATTTTTCATTTTAGTCATACTACAAGTTTTAGGAAAAACTGTTATAAGAGTAAGTCTTCAGGAATATTAAGCCAGGCTTTTCAAACTGCAGTTGATTTTTTCTCCTTACCTTACACTCAAGCTAGAAGAGTAAGTTATTTTCCAAAAGAAAAAAAAAATTGCATAGAAGATTGCCTGGTTTCCAAAACATCTGCTGCTTCTAAAAGGTCTTAATATGATTTTCACTCAGATAGTATAAATGCTAAATTACCGCGACAGAAATTCAGCAAAACATGTTTGAAGGAAACCAGAAACAACCATAAATAGCATCTTCTAAAAGATGAGAGTAACTTATTTTGTTTTTTCCATTTAACATCATTGTTTACTTAAGAGTTTTACCTTTCCCTTCATTGTTAACACTGTTCTTGGAAAAATCTGTGGGAAAGTAATAGAGACAGACTTCCTAAGCAACCAAGCTAAGCCCTACACAACATTAATCCACAACTATTCACTGACTTGAGAAAGGGTAACATTTTGATATAACACTAAATATTGTGCCTACCTATGTTAAGTGAAGTGCTGTTGATAGAAGACTGATCTCTGATCTGGGAGGTCAGAAATCTATGTTAGAGTCTCTTCTCCATTAGTAGCTAGCTTTATAATTATGGATAAGAAATCTACTCTAAGCCTCAAATCCTCATCTATATAATAATGAGACTAAAGTAGATTACCGCTAAGATTCTCTTCAGGCATAATGTCATTCCCACCATTTTTATTATATATTCTAAGGATTTCATTGATTCATCAAACATTTATTAAATACCTACTGTGTCCTTGGCACAGACACAGTCTTTGCCCTCACTGAATTTATATTTCCGTTGTCCCATTATCTATTAGAAAATGAGTAAAACATAAGCTTAGACTTAACAATGGGATAAATAATTATTTTTAAATGGCCATCCAAGCCAAAAGGTATGATAAAATCAGCTTGGTTGGGGAGAGATTCTCAGACCAATCTCTAATACGAATACAAGGCTGAGTAACAGCAGTCTGTGCTGACCCATCCCTGTCAACTTTTAATCCTTCTGACTGATGAAAAGCATGAGACATCTGTTTATTTTTAAGTGTACGCTGGCGGCTGTCTTCCTTATTTTCACCTTTCTTTGTACAACTGCATAGAATTCATCAAATGCTCAACACACACCATCCAACTGGTGATACTGACCTTCAAGAAAATTAAGTCCTAGAAAGGGTATATATATAAAATTTAAAAAAAAAAAAAAGAAAAAGAACAAATGACAGTGATAGGCGGAAGAATACGGTGTTACAGCAGTCAAAAACTTCATGTACTCCATACAATGCGTAAGTAAAACTGAGCTCCTGTAACAGGAAAGAAGAAAGAGAGGAGGTAACATATACTCAGCACTTAACAGGTGCCAGGCACGGGGAAGGCAGTTTTCACTTACTCTTCCCGGCCCTCTGAACAAGGTGATATCCCAAACAGATTGATCAATCGCAGCCAGGAAAAAAAAAAAAAAAATCCACTCCACTTCACAAAACTCCCCCCAAAACAGCCCGAGCGCATTCGAAAGCAAATGCACTGTTGACGTCATCATCATTCTGCTTAGAATCTTAGTATTTCAAACTGGAACTGTCCCGGGTCACCCGGGCAACCCCATTCATCTTGAGGACGACGCAACTCAGGCCACACGAGATAGGGAGCCTGCCTAAGGTCACCATCACTGCGCAGGGGCGGAGGGCCGGGCTCAAGCCCACGGCCGGGGCAGGCATCGCATCCCACTCTCCCAGCAACTGTTCGGTGAAACTGATTCATTTTGGCTTCTCGCTGAGCTAGTGGACACCCAGCAGAGCACTTTTATTAAAAATGATCACCAAAAAAAAAAAAAAAATCTGTTTCTACAAATGGCTCAGAATTCCCCCCCCCCTACACACACACACAAGAACCACGTCCCGTTTTCTACCTAAAATTTCGAGACCTACTGAGTGAGCACCAGTGGAAGCAGCTGCGTTTGCAGGTACCTGCGCCCCCGACTGCTCTCCTCGGGGGGGGGGGGGCTCCAGGTGCAAAGCGGGGTGTGTTTTCCAGTGAGGAGAATCAGGTCGCGGGGGGAGAAGATCCCTCAGACGAACGCCCCCCCGCGCCCCCCCCGGCGAGGGAGGGCGGAGGATGAGTGTGCAGGAACGTGGCTCCCGCGCCCGCCGCTCGTCGGCCGCCCCCCTGGCCCCGCCGGGCCGGTTCCGAACGCCGCCGAGGGCCCGGACCGTTACGGGGCCGCCCGGGCCGCGGAGCCCGCGCGGGCCGCCCCTCCCCCACCGCGGCCTGAGCCCGCGGCGCCGGCCGGGACCCCCGCGGCTCCCCCGCGCGAACAATACAAGGGGTCCCTCGCGAGCCTGAACGCCGGGGCAGCGCCGCCCGCCGCCCCGCGGGCCTCGCCGGGCCTCGAGCCGCAGGCCGCGACAGACAAGCCCGCGGGAGCCGCGGCGGTTAGTCAGGGGGTTCGGAGGCCGCCGTGCCCTCGCCCGTACCTGGCTCCAGGTGATGAACTCGTTCGTGTGGGCTTCCTCCACAAGCGTCCACAGCTTGCTGAGGAAAGCCGGCACGTTTGAACTCTGCTTCATTGTTAACGAGACGCTGGGATTCCGAATTCTACACCCGAACACGGCGGCGGCGGTGGCGGCGGCGGTGGAGGCGGCGACGGTGGTAGCGGCGGCGGCAGCGGCGGCGGCGGCGACGGCGGCAGCTGCTGCTCCGGGAGAACGCCCACCGCGCAGGCGCAGCAACTCTCGGGCCCCGCCCCCCCAGCCTCGCCGAGCGCGCAGCGGGGCGGGGCGGACCGGCCGCCGCACATGACGGACAAGCCCCGGCGTTCGGCCCGTGCGCGCTGGGCCCGCGTCGGCCCCGCTCCCGACCAATCGGAGGCGCGGGCCGCAGGACAAAGGAAAGCGATTGGACGTTGCGGACGGCGGGGGGGGCGGGAGCAAAGGGGGCGCTGCCTTCTCATTCGCCTTTTATACCCGAGCCGTCACTGTAGCGGACCTCGGGCGCCGTGGGCTGTGTTTGGCTGTTTCACGTGGAGACGGCTTAGGGTTTCCGAGCTGGGGCCGGGAGGCTACGGAAAGCCCTCCGGGGTGTTTCAGCGGTAGGATTGGCCGGCGACGCGTGGTGTGCGCCGGCCCGGAGGAAGTATAGTGATTCACGTGGGGGGGGGGGGGGAGAGGGCAGGGGAGGGCAGCAGCTTGCAAACGTGATGTGCTAGGCCCCAACTTGAAACTGTCTCACAAATGAGTAAACCTCGCCCTTAAAGTTTCATTAGGAGGAAAAAGAAAAAAAAGTTCCACGAACATACGTTTATCAAAAAGAGGAATTTAAATATCCTAAGTACTGCAGGGAAGCAGGAAGGGTAATAGACACACTACACCGCTGGTTGTTAATTGAACAGACATTGCACGCCAACCGTGTGCTCGGCACAAAAAAGAAATGGTCTCGCTTGTAGCCTTTCAGTAAATTAAAATAATTATTCCTGCATACACGTAACAAGTATGCTCCTGTTTCCTAGAGATCGTCTGATACAGTGCGGGGGGGAAAGCTGGACCTGGAATCAGCACAGCTGAATCTAAACCCAGCTTCAAGGACACTTCAGTGGATATTAGATTACACCAGTTCTGTGTAATTTAGAGTAGTAGTCCCTTACTCTGTCAGAGCCAGACTACTCCATCTCCTCATTGGAACTAAGATTATCCCTCCTTTTTACCCATGTGAGATAATATTAATAGGTGTAGCAATAAAAAAAAAACCATACAAAATTAAACTTTTCCTTTTTGCAAAAATCACCTGAATATTAATTCACAAACAAGTCAGAGATAATATTTTATACAGAATTCCTGGGTGCATGTAAAATAATACCTTAAAAAGTAAAATGCAATTTCCAGTGAGCAAATATTTATTGAATAGTGACTCTCTGTTCAGCCCTCATCTGTTTGCTGAAGCAAAACCAAATACATGGCGGGATGTATCCAATACAGTCAATGTATCTGCATGAAAAAATTAATACTTGAGAGCACTTATATATGCCTAGGGTTTTCTATATTTTATCTGTCCTATTCCCACAACAACCCAATAAAGTTTATCTTATCATCCCATTTTTACAATGAAGATTCTAAGGCCCAAAAATGAATTAATTAATTTATCTGTATTGTAGCTAGTAAATGAGAGATGGAATTTACACCCAGGGTTTATTGAGCTCAAAAGTCTGTGCTCTTTCCATTGCATGATGATGGCACCACCTCCTTAAGAGGCTTATATTCTAACTCAAGAAACAAGATAAACACAATGATGAGCAATTATTATTTTTTTAGAGAAAGCTAAATTTGGGGATTCCTGGGTGGCTCCACGGTTTGGCCCTTGCCTTCGGCCCAGGGTGTGATCCTGGAATCCAAGGATCGAGTCCCACATCGGGCTCCCTGCATGGAGCCTGCTTCTCGCTCTGCCTGTCTCTGCCTCTCTCTCTCTCTGGTCTGTCATGAATAAATAAATAAAATTTTAAAAAGAAAAAGAAAAAGCTAAATTTATGGTATTAAAAATACTAGGAAAGTTGAGAAAGAGATAAGTAAATTAAGTTAATAAGAGAAGATATCATGAAGGATGGTGACCTTAAGTTGGATCTTGAAGTATGGTTACATTGGAATAGCTGAAAGGAAGACAACAGTGGCCAAAATGAGAGGCTATTGAGCATGATCTGTCTATGGAGAGTGACGGCTCCAGAGGTAAGACTGGTAATGTCTGAGGGGGAAGATATGGCCTCCTTTCATGGCATTGAGTTATTTCCATCTGAAAAAAAAAAAGTGTAGTTAGATACAAGCAGAAACTACTCTGGGCATTCATCCTGTACAGTTATAGGCTTGGGGGTTAGTGGGGCTCTGGACTTCAAATGCTTGGTTTAATGCTCTGCTGTCGCTGTCTTGAAATTCTTCCTTTTTTTTAACAAGGCATCTTGCATTTTCATTCTGAATTGGGCACTGCAAATTCTGTAGCAGGTCTACTTTTAATATATTGCATCTTGTAGACCAGTTGTTCTCAAACGTGCATCCAAACCACTTGGAGAGGAGATGCTGTTAGTATAGCAAATAAATAAATATCATGTAGATAGTATTTATTCACTTATGAGGCCAGCTAAGGGGATAAGTTATTAACCAGGAGGCCTGGTGATGAGACCTGGAAATATTGAGCGCGTCTAAAATCTCGAGGCTTTGGAATTGAAACTATGTTTTTCATACTCTGACACATATATGTACATATTTTTCCTTTAAATCAGAGTGACTCCAACTTCAGCCTATGTCAGCATAGCCTGGAGGGCTTCTAAAAAAACAGATTGCTGCTTTTCCTCCCACTCTACAGAGTAGGTGGGGGGTTCAGACTAACAAGTATTTCCAACAAATTCCCAGGTGATGCAGATACTGCTGACCCTAAGAACCACTGTTATAGAGAAAAAAAATAGTAAAAACTGACCTTCCTTTGCTAAGATGTGCAGACTTATTACTCACTTTTCATCTCAACAAAATCCAAATATTCCAGAAATAAAATAAACTGTTTTCTTTTTCTATGGACTTAATCCTTAATATTTATTGTAATAAACTTTTTTTTGAAAACTTTAAGAACTGACTAGAGACATTTTGGGGAGAAGAGAAAATCACTATTGACTCATTTGCACTTGTATTGCACTCAATTATAAAACTTGAGAAGGGAAGAAAACCAAATCATGCTAATTCACAGATATTTGCCATCTACAAATCCCATAAATATAAGAAGAAACAGGTGGCCTGGGTGGCTCAGTTAAGCATCTGCCTTCAGCTCAGGCCATGATCCCAGGGGCCTGGAAATTGTGCCCTGAATTCGGCTCCCTGCTTAGCAGAGACCCTGCTTCTCCCTCTTCTGCTGCTGCTCCCCCTGCTTCAATGCAGTCTCTCTGTCCAATAGATAAATAAAATCTTTTAAAATACATATATATATAAGAAAAAACAAAATTTGACCCAGTGTCCACAATTTTGTAACGTCTACAATATTAGAAAATAAAAATGTCACTTTCTGAAAGTGAGTTTCCTCCTGTTGACTCCAAATTTTAAAAGTTAAAATATCTCCGTGGCTCATTTCCAGACTGAGTGTACGATTTACAAGATTTAGAATAACATTAGAAAATATGAGTGACTTAGGCTTTACTTAGGAAACAGAAAAGCATGTTGTAATATGCCTTACTGCTTCAAAGCCTCTCATTCAGATTGTACAAATTCAATCTGATCAATTATGCAAAACTAATTGGAATCAGCAGTACAAGCACAACAGTAGCTTCTAAAGATTGTTTTATAAGTAGAGCATGATTGGAACCAAAGGTGAACTGCACAGAGGTTTTCATCTACATTCCTATCTGGACACAGTGTTGAGTTTTTTCAATTTTGTAATGACTCAGCAGGCCTTTGACAAATCACTAGACACCTCCAAGTCCTAGATCCTTATACTAAAAAATGTGATTGAAAATACCTGTTATATATACTTCACAGAGTGGTTTTGAGGATCAGATACATTACTTCTTCAGCCCACCTCACAATCTTGAGATATCTTTCTGAAGCACAAATCTGAAAAGGTCACTTCCTGACTTAAAACCATTCAGTAGGGATCCCTGGGTGGCGCAGCGGTTTGGCGCCTGCCTTTGGCCCAGGGCGTGATCCTGGAGACCGGGAATCGAATCCCACGTCGGGCTCCCGGTGCATGGAGCCTGCTTCTCCCTCTGCCTATGTCTCTGCCTCTCTCTCTCTCTCTCTGTGTGACTATCATAAATTAAAAAAATAAATAAATAAAAATTAAAAAAAACCCATTCAGTAGCTTCCCATAAATTTCAAAATACATTCAAACGCCTTAAGATGGCATAAATAAACTCAAACCCGTAAGGTGTGCTCTGATGCCACCTGTCATTCCAGTCATTGGCTACCACTCTTCACCTTACTCCTACACTTAGCACACCCAACTGCTTGATACCCTACTGGTCAGGTTCGTTCACACTTCTACATATTTCCACAAGCTGTTGCTCCTGTGTAGAGAGCCCTTCTTCTACCCCATTAGACCTCATATTTCCCCTTAACCTTCAAAGTCATGTCCAATTCCATACAGAAGTCACCTCTTTTATGAAACTTCCTGGAGACCTTTATTTTTAGCACTTATTACATCATATTGTAATTATTTACAGGTATTTTTTCATACTAGTCTATACAACTTCAACATAAAGACTATGGCTATCACAGTGTCTTGCACATGTTCCACTCTCAATAAATATTTGTTGAATTAATCAATGAATACATGAACAGATGAGTACTAAAGTCACTTAGTCTTCCATGGTTCCCAAATTTGGGATTAGTGGCTTCTCTCATATGCTTCCATAGCATATGGAACTTGGTATTTACCACACTGCTGCTGCTCATTTATTTCTGAGCAGCCCTTACGGACCTGAAAGATTGTCCATACAATGTTCACTGTTGTATCCCTAGCAGCAAACATGGTGGTAATAATACAGGAACTGCCAATAAATATTTGTTGAGTGAATAATTTTAGCTTTTGAAACCCTTTGGATAGAATGTACTCTATTGAATAGTAAGGGAACTCCTTATAAGTTATTAGATTTCAATCCATATAAACTTTTTAGCTAAGAGAAGAAAATGAAGAGAAGGAAAATTTAGGGATAGCTCAACTGAGAGGCATGTGATTGAGGAGCTATT